GTTTTTTCTAAATAATTTTTAAGTATTTTATATTCAAAAAAATTGTTATAATGATTTTTTGAATAACTTATACAAATATGACCAGATGCTCGTAGAAGCATCCATTCGTTCGACCTGCTGATGGCAAAGCGAATGCTTTTTTTCGAGTACCACGGTACGTTCTGTCTGAATATGATTATAAATAAGGTGGGCAACGCACCGCACCGGTTCCATACTCTATTTGAACCAGCCGACCAGTTATCGTTTTCCCATAACCTTGACCATAACCCGACACCTTTTAGTTGATGGCAGCACTACTTCTTTTTTCTTGTATTCGATAGTTATTATTATTATTGAGAGGTCGAGGAGACCGACAGGAATATTTTTGTTAATTGTTAGATTATAATAAGCCAAAGATTCTTGATAGTAATTACATAAATCGTTTTTTTAATAAAAAAATTGTTTTGTCTGATAATTTATATTAATACAGGATGTTTCCTAATTAGTCTAAAAAAATAGGGTGTGATTCCTTGTATGATTTTAAGAAAAGAAGTTTATATGAACATGGGGTCTAAAATACTTCCTTTCTAATCTACAAGGTGTTGAATTTAGATATTTTCTTCAATTTTTAGAGTGGTGTCCAGTTCGAGACCAGGGTTTCCGAAACCGGCGCTGTCATATCAAACAACATAAACCAACTTAATTAAGAATGGAAATTCTGATAAAAACAAAACATGTAATAGGTATCATACGATCGAGAAAAAACGGCGTCAAAGACGGTTGGAGAATCGATGATAATTTTGACGAGGTCAGATCCTACACGTCTTTTACTTGGCTAGTACACTTCTTTATTTTTTAATGGTGCTTCTTTATTTGTTCATTTTTTAATCTTTTTATAATTATTCTTCAAAGGAGAAAAGAAGAAGGAACTTATAAAGAAGTAGAATTAAAAAGTATCAAATGACTTCCGTACGTAGAGTTTATCTGAAGTCAGTTGGAATAGATTGGGACTCTTAATTTCAGCACTGTCTTTGTCGGCATCGTCGGAACAAAGGCCTTAAGAGTCTCAGTACTTCCAATTGACTTCGAAATACTATAACTAAAATTGATTTTTTAATTATTGTTACCGAGTCCTGAGAGTATGGGGATTTTGAGTGCCGAGTCCCGGTTCTGTGATGGCTCAAAAGAACTGGGAATTTCCGGTACTTTCGAGACCGAGATTTCCCGATTCTGAACCTTAGTGTGCAGGTATAAGAACCGTTATTTCTGCAACCATTCTATTTTTTTAAATTTTTATCACCCTGTATATTAGAAAGGAATTACTTTAGACCCCATGTTTATATTCGGGTACATATAAACTTTTGTCTTAAAACATAATATAAAGAATAATACCCTAGCATTTTCTAGACTACTTAGTAAATTGTACCCTATATATTTTGCGAGATGGTGCTTTGTTTGTTTAAGAAAACTTTAATTTAAACATTTTTTTTTAATTTTGCGGATAAGGTACCAAAACTGAATATGAAATGAAAATATATGATTTCCAATGCAAAATTAATAATACCTTAATGCATTGGGCAATATCTTTCAATATTTAATTGCAATACACTGATATTTTTTATTCAAATACACAATGGAACTTAAATTAGTGGTAATATATTAAAGGTACTTAACAGTACTTGTATATATTTAACGTTTATATATCAATGTAGTAGGTACATTCAAATTGATTTATACATGTAATTTGTTTGTAATAAATTATTCTGTTTTAATTTGATATAAAATTTGCCGGCTAATCAAATTCTATGACGAAGTATTTTCCTCTTGTCACTTTCACTTCTTGCAGGATCTTGATATATAGTATGTATATATAGTATGTTTCCTTGACACTGAAATACATTTTTTAATGTTTGCAATGATGGTGACTCGTGTCGCTATAAAAGTATACCTTTTAAATATTTATAAATGTTTTTATTTTTAAATAATGCATGAATCAGAGCAACTTTCTTGTGTTGAGTAACTGTTAGTTTTGTTGGAAGATTTCGATGAGACTTTTTATTTCTTTATACAAATGGCAAATATATAGATGACTTTGTAATTTGTTGCAATAACAATTATTAAATTGTGAAATATTCCTCTAATATTATTTTATTGTTTCCTCATTGTAATTCACATTTTTGGTCGGCTATAAGACATATGAAATAAATATTACCATTAAAACAAGCACTTTTTGCCAAACAATATTATCCTGAAATACTCCAGCATGTACAGCAACAAAAAAAATCATGACATTGGTCAATTTGGTCATGCGACTATTGATATGGCAGTTTAACAAATAAATTGAATAAAACAAAATTTATTTTCATACACAGAAAGTCTATGAAGTTACTTTGAATGAGTTCTCCGAAAGTTTTGTTGTTAGCCATTTGACCATTTTCGGCGATCCGTGATCTGTAAATCAAAATTTTTAGTTCCTTTATAATTTATTGGAGGACAGTAAAATTAAATTTACTATAATAGAAATTATATATACCGGGTGTTTCTCAGAAGTGGCTCACCCCTATAACTTTCATTTTTTCTTATTTTTTTGTTATTTTTTCTGATAAAAAACGAGATTTGGTACATTAGTTTGGTTATATCGACATTAATCGGGTTTCCCGGTCACTTCCTGTTTCACCAGAAATGACTACAACTCTTGATTTTTCCCAACCAACACCTTCGGTATTTTTTACTTATAATTATACTTATTTTTTACTTATATTATAATATATTTTATTATGAATAGAATGACATATCATAATATATTACCTTTTGACATTTTCGCATATGGTTTATTTGAAATTGTAACATGCGGTTCATAAAGACAATTTGACTCGATATACCATGTGTGTGATACCAAATTATTCGTAAAAATGTTTTTTTTTCAAATATGCTAATGAGCTACCCACGTTCCATTTAAGAAAATTGAGATATGATTAAAAATACGATTTGGGCATCATTTTACTAGCCAGGACAAGACACTAAAAACATTAGACGATCTATCTATTTTCCCAAGGCTCCTTGATTAAAAGTTAGTGTTAGCGTTAGTTAGCAATGGCACCCTAGATTGAAATTTAAAATACGATTTTTTTAAAACGAAAATGTCAAAAGTTGACGTATAATAATGTCATTCTTTGTGAGTGTCATTTTCTATCGAATAAAGCAAAAAAATACCGACGGTGCCGTTTAAAAATTAATTAAAAGTTGTAGACATTTCCGGTGAAACAGAGGAAGAAGGAAAGTGGTAAAAACAATTGAAACCGTCAATTAATCCCGATTTATATCATATACTAAGGAACCAAATCTCGGTTTTTATCTGCAAAATTAAGAAAGTTATAGGGGTGAGAAACCTTTGAGAAACACCCGGTATTTTTATGAAAATATAATTGGAAACCTGATATTTTTTAAAGTCGCCGTATGAAACTTGTAATTGGAGGTAAAATTGGGCATGCTGAAGAAATAATAACTTACATACATACTTTTAAGCTTTTTCAATACCTAAATAATAGAAAATCCAGTTGTTGCCAACTTTTTGGCACACTTTGTATAAAAGAAATAACGTTTTATTTACAGAAATTTTTACATTTTTTAGTCTAGAAATTGAAACACAGTAGAAGTGATTTTATTAGTGAATGGAATGCTATAAAATGCATATATAGCATTATTGTTAATATTATTGGCTCTTTTACCTTCTGTTTCACTTTTATAATTCTATGAGACTAAAAAAATAGAGTTATTATTAATACTATATCTTAAAAATAGGACATTCAACGTTTACTTATTGAGATGTTTTTTCTTCTATTTTGATGCTATAAAATATACATAGTATAGGTAGAATATAATTCATTTTTTGTTAATGAAATCAAGAATAGAATTTTTAGGAACAGTTTATGAGAAAATATATATTTTAGCTCATAGAAAAAGATGTTATCAGTTTTGAAAATGTACTATGTATTTCTACAACTGTTCAACAACTTATTTTTATATTCCACTTAAATAGAACTATACAGGGTGAGTCTTAAATAAGAGCAAATATTTTCAAGGCTGGTAGATTTCGATGAAATAAACATATTTTTTTATTTTTCCTTTACCGTTTTTCAAATAAGTCCAAAACAATCGACTTATTATACTTTGAAAATTAAAAAAAAAATTTTTTTTGCTCCAATTTTCAGAACCACCGGTTTTTTTCTGAGTCTTCGTTTTCCTAAATTTAATCTACTACCTATGTGGTCATATTATCAAGGTATTATATTGTGTTTTTTAATTAAAAATTAAAAGACATGTTTATATACAACTCCTGAAAATATTTGCACTTATTTAAGACTCACCCTGTATAAATTCCACAATTAATTCCTTTAGTGTGTTGGCTTTTTTCACTTAAAACAATACATTAAAAATGTAAAAGTTAAATTTCTAGACGTAGCTATCCAAAGATATTATTTTTATATACGGGGTGGTCCGAATTATCAACATTTTTATCAAGAGGACTTTTTTACTTAAAAAAATGGTAGAAATGAATATTTTTTCACTTATTTGTTTTATGCAGGTATACGGACGAAAAGTTATTACTCTTCAAACCAGTTAAAAATATGTAGGTGGCGCCCTTTACAAGTAGGAGTCATATTGATATCGAAATCAATTTTTTGATGTCAAAATATACCCAGACACCAATTTTCATCCGAATATCGATATTACGAGTAGTTCAGGATTTTTTTTTCAAAGGAAGCATTTTTTGACAAAAGTTTATACGATTTTTTTTACTTAGTTTTATATGTAGAATATTCTGCCGAAGTTTCCCGAATACAATTCGGACCACCCTATATAATAACATCGTGAATATTTTATACTGTCATTAATCACATTCTTAAATAGATACGTGCTGTGCAACTAAATCTATGCTACATTACCAGCTATAATGCTGTTCGATATACAGCAAACCGTTATTGAAAATTGGGTATTTAATATTTTTATTTTTGTTTCAGTGGCGTACGTGATGGCCGGCTGGCCCTGGGCGGGCTTGCGGACCGTATCGTTCGCCCGCTGCCTGCTTGCCCCCCTAGCATCGCCGTTCTATCGTTTCCTGGCCAGATTTTCAGGTAAATATAATCAGTTTTCATTTGTAATGAGAAATGTTTATTGAATTGGTCTACAGTATGGTGCATCGGAACATTGGAAATTTCACGTAGATTTTGAAAAGATCAAATGCTATCTCCCAGAATATTAATTTTTACTAATCGCGAGGAATAATGATATGTATGTATAGTCTGTGAAACAAATAAATTTGAATTTGACAGTTCCCGCGGGCTTTTCTAGTGTTAATTTTCTTAGGTTAGCAACTGGCGGCCATGCTGACGCAATGCCGTCTCTAATAGAACAGCCTCGGAGCGAGATTTATGACGTCACGCTAGTTACATACTACAGATTAATATGTTGTAGAATACATGGAAAACATAATTATTCCTCGTATTTTTGGTTTATATTTTAAAAATGATATAGTTTACATGAAATATACATAATACATATACAGTTAATATAAATAAGTTTTTTTTTGACTTTGAGTCTTTTTTCTACTTTTTTAATAAATAAGTTAATATAAAAAATACATATACAGTTAGTAAATAAAAACGCTGATTAAGTTTTCATTTGGTTTTTCATTATTTTTTTTTTGGTTTAAAAAAACGTTTCGGCTAACATTATAGCCTTAATCAGTGCTGTGTCATATGATTTTTTTTTCATTTTAAACCAACAAAAATAATGAAAAACCAAATGAAAACTTAATCAGCGTTTTTCCCGAACCTAAATCCCAAGAAAATCAAAAATTTTAGAATAATTTTACATATAAGATGACAGCGATCTTTATTTCATAGCCATCGCTGACGCCTTTTTTTTATGATATTGTATTATTTGCAAATATAATTTTTCGAACATTGATACTTGCAAAATATACATATAAATTTTGTGAATGCAAATAATAATACATCACTATTAGTAGATATTGAATGTTTTTTTGTTATATTAAATCGATTTTCAAACCAAAATTTAAAATATATTTTACATTTTACCCATTATCTTATGTACCTATTTATTATTTGTATATTGTAAAACATTTTCTGCATTTGTGTGGTTCATAGTTTATTTGCCAAAGTATTTATTGCTATAAATAGGTATATAATATATTGTATTTATTAACTGTATATTATGTATATTTCATGTACACTATATCATTTTCAAAATACAAACCAAGAAAACGAGGAATAATTATGTTTTCCATGTATTCTACAACATATTTATTAATCCGTAGTATCTAACGAGCGTGACGTCATAAATCTCGATCCGAGGCTGTTCTATTAGAGACGGCATTGGTCTGATTTTTAGAAATGTCTAAAGCTGATGACATTTGACTTTTGACAATTATTTTTTCGTGTTGATTTTTGCGTGTTGATTTTTGCAAGGAGAGGAAGAACTGTCACTTGTTTTATTATTTTTCTTTTCTATTTCACGAAAGTAAAAAGAGTTACCTATCTGATTCGTTCAGTCACTCAATTTAAAGAGTATCAGATAAATATCAGTAACTTTATTGATAGAGGGATTTTATATTTGCCATGTTGGTGAAAAATAACGGTGAAAATTCAAAGTTATTCATTTTATAGACTATATTGACTATTTCCATTTTAAATATTGAGAACGGTGGCTCGTAGCGATTTTTACCAAGATACATTTTTTACGTAGAAAGTCATGGAAATGTGTATTTTTTCAGTCAGTGGTTTTATACAGGTACGGACGAAAAGCTATTAGGTACTCTTCAAAACAGTTAAAACATATGTAGGTGGCGCCCTGTACAAATAGGAGTCATTTTGACATCAAAATCAAATTTCTCGTGTCACAAAACCCCCAGACATCAACTTTCATCCAAATATTGACGTTACTTCAGAAATGATTTGGAAAAAATCGAAATAAAAATGAAACTTCTACACCCTGTATCTCCGAAACTAAGCATTTTAGGACATACATTTATACGAACTTTTTTACTTATTTTTATCTGCAGAATATGCTGCCGAAGTTTCCGGAATACGATTCGGACCACCCTGTATGTCTAGCAATTATACCTCATAAGTAGTACATGAATTATCGATAGTCAAATGTTTTAATTTTTAATTATTGTGTCTCACTGACAGATCATTCAAATTCTATAGTACTTCTAGAAGTCTCACAGACTTCAAATTTTATATAATAACGATGTCTTATATTAATACTAAAAATTTATAACAAAATTGTTGATTAGGTGCTTCAATAGAAATTAAAATAAACTGACTTGGTTTTTACATCATATCTCGCAACTTTTTGTAGTGGAATGGACTACCTTTTATCAGAAACCAATTTAACATAAAAGAAGCCGGCATGTCATGTCGATCGACTATACCAGTGAGGTTTACAGTTTTCATCGAGTTAGAAAATCACACGTTTTTTGGCACCTCAACCGAATGAGCTGCCTGGTCCGGTATTGGAGGAAAAAGGTACCGCCGCCGCCGGACCCGTTCTTGTACAAACTTATATTTAATTCCTTATTTATTTGCACGTCATCGTCGAAGGCGAGCATGCTCTAGGCTCGACGGTCAGCGGAGGGGCATCTTCGCGAGGCGACCTTGCCTTTGGCGAGGCGGGTCGCCCGGATGACCAACGCCACCCACTTTGAGAAGGCACATTCCTCGAATGTTTCGGAGGTGCGGTAGATCCTAATTGGTTTTTATGGAGATATGTTGAGACTTATCTGGTAAAACAAGCTCTGATATTGTGAATAATTCTTCTCTCATTATTGCGGATCTAAACTATCCGCCAATGAAAAAGGACATAAAAATCAAGACAATGGTGTCGAACAGTTTTAAGAGAAGTGTTATGCATTTAAATGTCATACAGTGTGTCATTAAATTTTTGTTAAGTTCTCAAAATATAAGTTCTCACAATATACTTATGTATCATTATCGTCATGGTGATGTCTCCGTTGCATGTTCTTCTCTTCTTCGCGCTTATGGTTCTTGTTCGGCTGTTTATTGTCATCTTTAATGTCAAGAACTGTTCTGCTTCACATATGGAAACCAACTTAAAGCGAAACTCAAGAACCTGGAAGAATCTATCCGTAACCTGGAATCGGATCCTTCAACGGTCTAAAACAGTAGTTCCCAAACTTATTTTTCTCGTGGGCCACTTTCAAAATTTTACTGGTTTCGGTGGACCCCCTGCTGCTACATTTCTACCACATTCTTAAAGTCGCCAAAAAATAAAAATTGTGTCACTTCTGAGTTCTGTCCCTATATTCCGATATGTAAAATAAAAACGAAAAATGGTACATTTTATATCACTTTATTTATTAAAAGAATAGAATTACAAGAAAAATATTAAGGTAATATAGGTTCAGGTCATAATTTTAATTAATGGGAAGGATGTATCTGATGGAGTGTCAGCAAACGATCAATGTTTGGCTTTATTTTTGTGAGCAATAACCGCAAATCCCCCGCTCTGTGATGTTTAATTTGCTCCTTTTTTTTGTTAAGAGGTTTGTAACGGCACTAAAACTCCTTTCGACAAGGTATGACGAGGGAAAAGCTATTAAAAATTTCCTTGCGATTTCCCACAGTCCAGGATATTTTTCGGGTATTTCTGCTTGCAGCCAAAATGTTGGGTAGCCTTTTCTAAATTTCACCTTCAGCTCCTCATTAGTGCTTAGCTCGAGCAGCTCCTCTTGTAATACAACATTGGCCACTTCCGTTTCATCAAATGGATTTATGATCCATGGTGGTATATCCATCGTCAGTATATCTTCAAACCTGGTTTTGAAGTCATCATGCAGAGCACTTAAATGTTGACTGTAGGTATGGATATCCTCATCAATACATTCTACCTGCGACAAGTTTGGAAATTGAGAGAATTCGCGCCGACTAATGTTTTGCTTCATAAATTTCAATTTCCCAAGAAAAGCCGAAATTATCCCCTTTGTTTTTATTAAATTCAGGCTGTCCCCTTGTAACTGCAAGTTAATATCATTAAATTTTTTAAACAAATCTGTCAAATACGCAATGTCTGCTTTGAATTTGATCAAGTTTTCTTTTAAATCTGGATCTCTACTTTCTAAGAACTCTAATATGGAATCGAAAACAGAGTAAAATCTCGTTAAGCATGCACCTTTCGACAACCAGCGTACTTCAGTATGTAAGAGCAGTCGTTGGAAGTCTTCATCATTTTCGTCGCACAATTGAGCAAATAAACGCGTATTCAATGCATTGCTTCTGATTTTGTTGACAGCTTTTATTACAAAATGAAGAGATTGGTTCAACCTGTCACTTAAATGTTTTGCCACAAGATGTTGTCGGTGGATTACGCAATGAATAGCTGTAAGTCCTGGTATAATTCTTTTGAGATGACTTATAAACCCACGATATCGCCCGACCATTGCAGGAGCTCCGTCTGTTGCCACTGAAATAATGTTTGTAAATGGGATCGATTTTTCCGTAAAAAAATTACTCAGGACATTAAATATTGATTCGCCTTTAGTGTCAGTCTCCAAAGTTCTGGCAAATAGCAATTCTTCGTGAATTTCTTCCTCAACAATAAATCGGACATATGCCAATAGTAATGCTTCATTACTGGGTAACGTTGACTCGTCCAGTTGTATAGAAAAATGAGTTTTTTGCAGATGATTGCACAAAAAGCTTTCGATATCAGAGCTCATTTCATCAATGCGTCTTTGTACAGTATTGTTACTTAATGGAATTCTTTTTAGTACGTCAAATGGAGATTTGTGCAAAACAGTTTTTAAAACCTCTTCAACAGCGGGTAAAATTAATTGTTCTCCGATAGTGTGCGGTTTTCCAGATTTTGCTATAAGTAATGAGATATTGTAAGATGCCCGCAAGCCATCATCGTTACTTTGAGATGTTGAAGCGAACATACTGTGCATGGTGGGTCTCTTTCCATATTTTTCTTTCAATGTTTGAAAATATTTTAAATCTTTACCTATTTTATCAGTATGACACCTTTTTAGATGATCTTCGAGCTTTGATGGTTTCATAGAGTCATTGCTCAAAACTTTGTTGCATAATAG